GAACTTGACGGAGGAACAAGGGGGAGAAGAAGGGGGGAAATGGTGGGGGAAAGGGAGAGAGGCAAACCATGAGAGACTCTTGAATGCTGACAAAAACTGAGGACTGATGGATGTGGGGGGAGGAAGGGATGGCATGGAGGAGGACACTTGTGGGGATGAGCACTGGGTGTTATGTGGAAACTAATTTGACAATAAACTATTTGTAAAAAAATAAATAAATAAAATAAAAAATAAGAAGACTACCCACACCAAAAAAAAAAAAAAAAAAGAAAAAAGAAAAAAAAAGAAATGTGACTTTTGGGCTTCACCTATCGAAACATGGATTCAACTTCTCCTTCCCTTGGATCTGGGCCAGCCTTATAAACTTGCTTTGGCCAATAGAACATGGCAGAAATAAGAGTGTGCCAGTTTCATGGTTAGGCCTCCAGAGGCCTTGTGAGTTTCCATTCTTTCTCTCTGATCCCTCAAACTGTCATGTGAACAAGCCCTGTGAGAACAGTGGTCAGCAAACTCTTTACATAAAGGGACAGATAGCAAATATTTTAGGCGCTGTGGTCCATGAGGTTCCTGTCACCTTCCTCAACTCTGTTTTAGTGTGCGAGCGGCCACAGATAACAGACAAATGGGTGTGGCTGTGTTCCAATAATACTTTATAGGTAAAAACAGGCAGTGCACTGTAGTTTGCCAACCTGTGTGATGGTGAATTAAAGACGACATAGAACAGAGCTGAATCAGCGGATTCATCCCAGCTGAGGCCCCCACCAAGATCAGCAAAGCTGGCATGCAGCAGACTACAGGTGCCCTAAGGGGGCCTGCTGACACCAGAACCACCCACTTGATCGCACTTGAAACCGCCTACCTCCAGAATTGTGGCTTAACCCACTCCATTCTGGGTGCTTTGTTACACAGCAGTAGCTAAGTGATTCACTTCACTTACATAGATGGATGTGAATATGATTTGGAAATTAAATTTACTTTGCAGTCCAAACAAGGCATGCCTTTTCCCTCCTTTCCTCAGACACTTACACCAAGAAATCAATTTATGAGGTCCAGATCATCTGTCTATGTGTTATGCCTACTGTGACAAGAGACGCTTTTTATTTTTTTTATTATTTTAAAAAAATTTTTTAAATGTTTTATTTATTTCTGAGA